CCGATACCCACAAAAAAAAAAAATATATATTGTCGTTGCTTATATATCATATCTAAAGTTTCTCTATTCTAATCGAACCATGACTACATTCGATTACTAATAGGTAAAGTTAAATAGCCAAACCCGAACAAATCTTAACCAGACGAGTTATGTTTTTATTAGCGGGACGATAGCTACGTGACGTAGTGTGTCTCGGGTATACATTATTATTATTATTATTATATATAGGTAAGCTGAAGTACTTGACGGGGTATCAGAGGCATTTACTTCTAGTTTGGAGCAAGAATGAAGGAGTCTTTAGCTATTTGTTCTTGCTCATTATCATTGGCTTTGTGGGTGGTGGCGGTGGTGGTGGTGTCTTGGAGTCCGTTATCGGAAGCCGCCATTGAGGCGGTGGAGCTTCCCGGAGGGGTGTTTGGGCCTGAAAGCATCGCCTTCGACTGCCGTGGAGAAGGGCCGTACGCCGGCGTCGGAGACGGCAGAATTCTCAAGTGGAATGGTTCTGGTTTGGGTTGGACTCAGTTTGCTTATACCTCACCCAACAGGTATTCAAATTTTTTTCTTTTTTTAGGGTTTTTCTTTAGATTTATATCCCAAAAAAAAAAAAAAAACTTCCATCATATTATAAAACCCTATATAACGACATAACTAAAATCGAAAGGTCGTTCATGCCAGTATTGAGCCTTATATACGTATGACTTGATATTCCGATTAGCTTGGACTATCCAACCTAAACCATAAAAGTTGAGGTGGGTTATATTTTTTCCGTTAGGGTTGGGTTGAATNTTTTGAAAACGGAAAAAATTCGGGTCGGTTTGTGAGTTACATTTTTTTTTTTGTCGAGTCAACTCGACCAACCTGGAAATTGGGTTACAACTAAACGTATCCCTCCCTTACTTTTAAGATTATTATGAAAGTTAAAAATATTTGGTGTTTGTTACTAACGTCAGTGATGTGTTATGACATGTAAATGTTTGATATTTTAGTTATTAATGTAACATGTATCATGGATAAGAATCCGACGACTCTAACTCAATCCAACCCAAAAATAAAGGGTTAGGTTGGGTTGGAGACTCTATTCAGATTGTTCGGGTCACTGTTCCCTAAAAAAAAATGATTTTTTTGTGTCGGGATTTGAAGGGAAGGAAAAGAGTGCAATGGTGAGCCCCAAACGGAGGCAGCATGTGGGAGACCATTGGGGCTCAAATTTCACCCTTCAACTTGCGAGCTGTTCATAGCGGATGCCTACTTTGGCCTTCTTGCTGTCGGACCTCAGGGCGGCCTGGCTAGCCAGCTCGTCTCTTCCGCCCAAGGCGTCCCTCTCCGCTTCACCAACGCTTTAGACATCGACCCCCAAAACGGTGTCGTTTACTTCACTGATAGTAGCCTCTTGTTTCAAAGAAGGTAATCCATTTAACCCTAATAATCCCTTTTGAAATTCGTAAAATCAAATTATTTATATTTTATTTTGATCTTTAAATTTAAAAATATTTTATTTTTATTACACTACTTTCAAATCAACTTTAGTAAATAAAATAAAATAAAATAAAATATTTATAAAAATACATTTTTTTTTAATATTGCAATAATTAAATGAGTAGCCCTTGATTATTATTATTATTATTATTTTCATAAAACTCATTTTTATTAATTTTATTAATTAATTTATTTTTATTTTTTTAAAAGAAACATACTACTAAATGCCATTTAATAAATGACAGACATTTTTCAAATCCAAAAAAATTTCCACAAAATGTGGATGGACACACGACAAGTAGCATGGACCTAGCTGTCTCTAGGTTCATTAATTTTTTTTATATATAAAAAAATAAATAAAAATAACATCAAATAATTTATAATTTTTAAATAAAAATAAAATTTTAAAATTATTCATTCTTTTTTTTTCTTTTTTCTTTTCTTTTTAATCAAAATAATCCATTAAATCCCAATTTAGGTTTATGTTTATGAAACCTTAATATAATCAAAATAAAATAAAATGTAATTAATCAAGAGGGAAGTTGTCAGATTATTTGAGATGATAATAAAAATATGGTTTTTTTTTTTTTTTTTTTTTTTTTCTTCCGGAAGTGTTTGGATNTTTTTTTTTTTTTTTTTTTTTTACTTTCTTCCGGAAGTGTTTGGATATTGTCGATAGTGAACGGAGACAGGACAGGGAGGCTGCTAAAATATGATCCACGTACAAAAAACGTCACCGTTTTGATCAATGGTCTCGCTTTCCCAAACGGTGTCGCTTTGAGCACTGACTCCTCATTTCTTCTAATGGCTGAAACGGGCACTCTCCAGATCTTAAAGTTCTGGTTAAAGGTATGATAAATTATTACCACTACTTTTAAAAGATTCTTTTTACATGTCATGCATGGTTAAACTTGATTGATTTTTAATAAACCTCTAGTGTTGGTAAGTTCGGGAACATAGTTGTCTGTTTCCAGTTTAGGGTTTACGTTGGGATATGAGATTGTTTGGCTATACCTTTTTATTCGAAAAGGAAGTAACTGATATCAAACATCGAACCTCGTGTTTTTATCGTCATTTCATTTAAATGGTACACATAATCATTTGTTCATGTTTTTAACAAAAGGGTCCCAAAGCGCAAACTACAGAGATATTCGTACAACTCGAACGATTTCCAGACAACATAAAGAGAACAGACAACGGTGAATTTTGGATTGCCATGAACACGGGAAGAGGGAAGCTCGAAACCCAGACATGGATGAGGCTCGGGGGAGCGACAACGCAGCACGGGGAGGTAAAAATCCCGTGGATTCGGGGCGACCCGGTGGCGGTGAAGTTGGACGAGAGAGGGGGAGTGAAGGGGATGATTGATGGGGAGGAGGGGCAGGCACTTGAGTCGGTAAGTGAGGTTGATGAACGTAAAGGGAGGCTGTGGATTGGGTCAGCTGTTAAACCATATGTTGGTTTTATCATGAATGGATAGAACAAGAAAACACTCCAAAATTGTATTGGTAAATTATTGTATGACTCCAACTTTTTATAAAAGTTTCAAAATATTTTTATTTAGGTTCCGTGCGTAACATTAACACCTTTAACTTTATAAAAAAAATAATACCGTCAATATAAGAAAAAAGATAGACTATCGATATCTCATAGATTATCTTTAAACTTTTAATATTATTTTTAAAAGTTCATGAGTATTTTTGTAAACGTGGAACTATTAGTACATGTATTTTTTTAAAAAATATATAATTTTTTTTAAAAGGTCACGGTATTAACGAAACTTTTGAAAACTGCGGTATTTTTGAAATAATTTTGAAAGTTTAATGATATTTTTGAAACCCATTTCAGAGTTTAAAAACGGAACAAGTATGAGCGGTTTCTATTCAAAACTAACCATAAATGTATTTTTCAAAATTTTAAAATATTTTTGAAGATATTTTCGAAGTTTAAAGATATTATTAAAACGTTTGAAAGATTAATAATTTTTATTAAGTTTGGCGAGTAAATATTAAAAAAATAATTTAATAACTGTATCCAAAAGTCGTAAATGGGCCACAAGTATAGTTATTAGAGGCTGGGCCTATGCTGGTGGCCCAATAATCCCACTTAGCAAATTCTTTTTATTATTATAATTTTTAAAATAATATATAATGGCTTGTTAGGTTGGTTTCAAGACACCATGAAAAATTTTATTTATTTTTTATTTTAAAAATATAAAGAATCTTATAATTGGTGCCAATTCCACTAGAATTTCTAATGTAATTATAAAAGACAAAATATTAAATAAAAAAAATCTAACATTGAAATCAGTTTAGTTGTGTTCCACTTCAATTATGCATTCATTTATTTACTTTTTTTTTTTTTTTTTTTTTTTTTTTTTTTTTTTTTTTTTTTTTTTTTTTGGTCTCAAAGCATTTTTTATTTTTTTACCATAGTTTACTTTTTGGTTGACTTCCATTGTTAACTAAAAGTTTAAAGTGAGTTGTTTTACATTAGAGGAGACAAAATGATGTTGTTAATAATAATCATTATAAAGTATTTTTTATTACTATTTTTATGTAAAATTATGATTTTCTTTCTTTCTTTAATACTTGAAATACTTGAAATGAATGAAATTGAAAAATCTCCTCCTTAATTGAATTCTCTTAGACAAAGTTCGAATTTATGTTTTATGAAGGTCGAGAAATAAGGGTGAACATAGAATTGAGTTGAGTTGGGTTGAGTTTGGGTTGAGTTAGATTTTTTTTTGGATCAACTCAAAATTTCGGGTTTGTTGAGTTGGTGACCTGAATAATGAAGATGTTAATAATTAAAATCTCATAAAATTCAAATATCGAACATTTACAAGAACTCTTTTCATTTAGATTAAAACTGGTATAATAAAAAGGGATTATTTTGTACTTTGTGGAAAGAGATGCTTTGACTTTGAGAGAATCTTACCCACTTAAATCAAAGTGAAATTCTACACTAACTTATTATTTTTGCTTTAGGTATATAGGAAAGGAGAATAAAGCCATATTCAAATACATTTGATTTTGAAAATTTGCAATATTTGAGTTCTTCAAAACTCGAACTTAAATAAGTAAAAAGTAGATAACAAAATAAAAAAAATCAAAACAAGTCAAAATTTGGTTTAATTTTAGCTCATAAAAGTTTAGAATAGAAAGATCATATATATATATATAAAAGAATATGCATGTTTATTAAAACTCATTAACGTTGATTTTAGTTAATAAGGTCAACTATGTCACTTGCTCAAAGAGACATTTTATTAAAATTCACAAAGTATATGAATTGAGAAGAATCAAATAAAGAATTTAAAACGATACTAATCCAAACTGAAAAATTAAAACAAAATCTACCAGGTTGAATGGTCTGTGTTATTCGAAAAGAATACACAAAGTTCCTACTCCCAAACTTGTTATCTTTCTAAAGTCTCTACACCGTTGTACAGAAAATTTCAAACTGGACAGGCAATTTCTTAGCAAAGACATACCAGTGTTCTTAATTAGCTCGTCTTTTTTCTTCTCCCACAATGCATTTTGAAGCATCTCCCACCTTAAAAAAACCAAACAAAAAACATGGAATAGAATAATGAGAAGACCAGAAAGCAATCCCACTCATCTCAACACGTTTTGGATCAAGTGCCTATAATCAATCCACAGCCCCAATGAACATGAATGAGTACCACCTGATCAAGTTCAATACAAAAAGTGATGATAATCACGCTTTAAAAGTTAAGAAGAGGCACTAAAGGCCAAAATTCAGATGGGTTTAGAACATCAAGTCAACCCCCTAATGGAACCAAAGTTGCACGTGTGAATTAGTAACACTGTACACTGCACATACAAACGTGTCAAAAGAAGAGATTTTAGAGAGCTTTTGACAAAGTGTCTTGTAGGAGAGAGAGAGAGAGAGAGAGAGAGAGAGAGGATTCTGCTTTCATTATTTCACTATAAAACATTAAAACTAAAGTTCAAAAGATGTCTTTTGAGGGTGGAAATTTCAACGCCCAGGCGGCGAGAGAGATGAGCTGAGAAATGATTTCGTTACAAAGATATCATGAGGAGCCCTTCTCTCGAGATTCCAACCTTTCATGATTGATGGGGTGAAAGCAAAAGATAAAAAGAAAGGAAATTTCCAAAGGCAAGGCATGTTAGATTCAAAGAACTCACCGTTATCTGTACAGTACATGGTCTACCCCTTCTAAACTATGTCCACTATTGTCAAATCCCATAGTGTTCGGAGAGTGAAACGAAACATTCCTTATAAAAGTATGGAAAGTTCTTCCTAACCAATGCGTTTTAAAACGTTGAGGGGAAGCCCAGAAGGGAAAGCCCAAAGATGACAAGATTTGCTAGCGGTGGGCTTGGACTGTTACAAATGGTATCAGAGCCAGACACCGGGCGGTGTGCCAGCAAGGACGCTAGCCCCCAAGGGGGTGGATTGTGAGATCTCACGTCAATTGGAGAAGGGAACAAAGCATTCCTTATAAGGGTGTGGAAACCTCTCTCCAACAGACACGTTTTAAAACTTTGAGGGAAAGCCCAAAGATGACAATATCTGCTAGTGAAGGGCTCATGCGGTTACAAATGGTATCAGAGACCAAGCGGTGTGCTAGCGAGGACGTTGGGCCTCTAAGGGGGTGGATTGTGAGATCCCACATCAATTGGAGAGGGAAACGAAACATTCCTTATAAGAGTGTGAAAACTTCTCCCTAGCAGACGCGCTTTAAAATTTTGAGGAGAAGCTCAAAGAGGATAATATCGGCTAACGGTGGGCTTGGGCTTGAGCTTGAGCTTGAGCTTGAGCTTGAGCTTGAGCGGTCACACTATTCTTTTGATAGCTTTATATTTTGTATCGTGGGTATAGAATCGATAATTCTGTTTTCCATCATAATACTAATACAAAACAATCCATCTGTTTTCAACCATGTTAAATAATAGAGTATCTGAGTTTTGGTCATTGTGGGTTCTCTCTTTTATATATTCCCTTTCCCCTCTTGCCTTTTTTGTAAAGGAGTGGCAGACAGATTGATTCTTTTGTGTCTTTTAAGAGCCATTCTTTTAGAAATTGGGGCCTCAAGGAATGTTGAGTTCAGCAAGCAGCTCAGCAATGTAAATATATCTAACAAGTTCAAACCAAAACTGACCAATTCAGGTCAAGTTGGTCTTGTCCAATCTTTTAGCTAACTTTATTTCCATCACCTCATCTTTATCTTCATCAGAAAAGCTGCTCCTTTTTTCTTCTTGTCATTTGATGAACCTACAGCAGCAAGTTTAATGGAAATTAGGAGAAAAAGTGGGTTACTGTCTTTCTTGGCTTTGGTTTGGTTATGGGCTTCTGCAACTGCAACTTCAACGGGCATTCGTTTAAACGTTGAAGGTAGATGTGTTCTTCAGTTTCAAATTTTGGTCAAGTCTAAGGAGTAGAATTTGATGTATTTTGAGTTTTTTTTTTTTCAGTTCAAGCTTTGATGGGAATCAAAGCTGGTTTGAAGGATCCTCATTCTGTTCTAGCTTGGGATGAAAATGCTGTGGATCCATGCACTTGGAATTTAATCACTTGCTCTCCTGATAAACTTGTGATTGGCATGTAAGTTTAATTCCAAAAACAACTTGAATAAAAAGCTCCAAGCTGCTGCATCGTATAATGCTTTGTTCTTATGTTGTTTCATTTCAGAGGAGCTCCAAGCCAAAACTTTTCTGGGACACTCTCACCAAGTATTGGAAATTTGACAAACCTTCAATTTTTGTAAGTCTCTCCACCAGAACCAGAAAACCTAAAGTTTCTCTTTGTATTCGTTCACGAATCGATTTCTTTCTTTCTTTCTTTTTTTTCTGGTAGGCTTCTTCAGAATAACTATATATCAGGAAAAGTTCCTAACGAGATTAGCAAGATACCGAAACTTCACACACTTGATCTTTCAAACAACTTGTTTTCTGGCGAAGTTCCTAGCTCTTTCTCCAATTTGAAGAGCCTCCAATACCTGTAAGTAGGATGTATTTTATACGACTGTATCCGCTTTGTTCCCATATGATAGCAATTCTAACCAAGAGGTATGGGGTTGGTATCAGGAGACTCAACAATAACACCTTCTCTGGGACAATCCCATCATCACTGGCTAACATGAACCAGCTTGCCTTGCTGTAAGAGAATTCTTCCACAAACTCTCTCTCCCTTCTTTATGACAAATATTTAAGGGCTGCTTGGAGTTTGAGTTTAATATTCTTCATACAAAAAGTCATATAGAACAAGCTCCCGAACAGCCAAGTAATCTTTCGCTTATTGATATTTTAGTTGTGCTTAGAAGTGAATGTTTTTTGTTCCATTGTTTTAGGGATCTGTCCTATAATAATTTGAGCGGTCCTCTGCCCAGATTGTTGGCTAAGACATATAAGTGAGTTACAGACAGGATTTCAACTTTTGCTATTCTCCTTTTCTCAATTAGTTTTGGTTGATCTTTACTCTTGACTGTTTCATTTGTGTACAGCTTTACTGGAAATTCTTTGATTTGTGCGCCTGGCTCTAAGGAAGTATGCTACGGAACAACTCCATTGCCACTTTCTTTCGCTGTCGCTAATTCCACATGTAATTCTCTTTTCCAGCCTGCGTTCCTCCAAATTGTTGACTGATTGAGATTTTCTGTTTATTTTAATTTTTTTTTTTATCAACGTAAAGATCATCTGTAAGATCCTACATTGGTTGGGGAGGAGAACGAAACATTTTTTTATAAGGGTGTGGAAAACTCAGCCCGAAAGGGAAAGCCCAAAGAGGACAATATCTGCTGACGGTGGGATTGGATTGTTACAAATGGTATCAAAGCCAGACATCAGGTGATGTGCCAGCAAGGAGGTTGAACCCAGAAGGGGGTGGACACTAGGCGGTGTGCCAGCAAGGACGCTGTGCACCAAAGGGGGTGGATTGGGGGTCCCACATTGATTGGAGAAGGGAACGAGTGCCAGCGAGGACGCTGGGCCCCAAATGGGAGTGGATTGTGAGATCCCACATCGGTTGGGGAGGAGAACAAAACATTCTTTATGAAGTTGTGGAAACCTCTCCCTAACAGATGCGTTTTAAAAACCTTGAGGGGAAGTCCGAGAGGGAAAGCCCAAAAATGACAATATCTACTAGCGGTGGGCTTCCATCGTTACATTAACAATCCTCCAGTTTTTGTTTAATCCCTCAACTAGTTCATCTCTACACTTGTTCACATTTTTAGAGATTGAGCCCCATATTTCTTCCAAAGAGAGTAACTGAATTTCTATTTTTGACTACTTCCAGACTCCCAACCTCCTAGGAGACATAAAGGCCAGAGAATTGCTCTAGTCATTGGCCTCAGCTTGGCCTGCATCTGTCTGTTAACTCTTACATATGGTTTCTTTATCTGGCGGAAGCATAAGCACAACCAGCAAATATTCTTTGAAACTAATGGTAACTACAAAATATCACTGCATGATCATTAGACAAAAGTAGTCTTCCATCATAGTTAACAAAACTGCTTAGCGTTTTTTTAGATCGGCATCATGAAGAACTTAGCCTTGGAAACATAAAGAGGTTTCAGTTCAGAGAACTTCGGAATGCCACTCACAATTTCAGCAGTAAAAACTTGATTGGAAAAGGTGGGTTTGGAAATGTTTACAGAGGATATCTACAAGATGGCACCATTATAGCTGTCAAGAGACTCAAAGATGGGAATGCTATGAGAGGAGAGACCCAATTTCAGACTGAAGTGGAGATGATAAGCTTGGCAGTGCATAGGAACCTCCTCAAGCTGTATGGTTTCTGTATGACAGAAACTGAGAGACTTTTGGTCTATCCATATATGTCTAATGGCAGTGTTGCTACCCGTCTTAAAGGTAATCAAGCCTCGACATACTGAATGAATGAGTACACTGTTGGATTTCTACTTCTACATATTTTATCTCAATTACGTACTTGTTCAAACTATTCTTTTGAAATGGACAGCGAAACCAGCTCTGGATTGGGGTACAAGGAAGAGAATTGCCTTGGGAGCTGCAAGGGGCTTGTTATACTTACATGAGCAGTGTGATCCAAAAATAATTCACAGAGATGTGAAAGCTGCAAATATACTGCTTGATGATTTCTGCGAGGCAGTAGTCGGTGATTTTGGGCTCGCAAAGCTACTAGATCACAGTGATTCACATGTCACTACTGCTGTGAGAGGAACTGTTGGGCACATTGCACCAGAGTATCTGTCAACCGGCCAATCCTCAGAGAAAACTGATGTTTTCGGGTTTGGAATTCTATTACTTGAGCTTGTATCAGGTCAAAGAGCTCTTGAATTTGGAAAAGCAGCAAACCAAAAGGGTGCAATACTAGACTGGGTAAGCTTAAAGACTTGTCATATGTAAAAGTTACCTAAATTTAAGACCGGCAGGCTCAGCTTAACAAATTACTATACTTGCAGATAAAGAAGCTACACCAAGAAAAGAAGTTAGAAATGCTTGTTGACAAAGACTTGAGAAGCAATTATGACCCAATTGAAATTGAAGAAATTGTTCGAGTAGCTCTCTTGTGCATCCAATATCTTCCAAGCAACAGGCCAAAGATGTCTGAAGTGGTCAGGATGCTTGAAGGAGATGGGCTTGCAGAGAAATGGGAAGCTTCCCGACGAGCAGAAGCAAGCAGGGTGAGAGCCAATGAGTTCTCCTCTTCAGAACGTTACTCTGATCTTACTGACGACGCTTCATTGTTTGCTCAAGCAATAGAGCTCTCAGGACCAAGATAAGAATTAAGATCGAACCGGCCAATGTCCCAAAAATGGGATATTCATCAGCCAAACATACTTCATGCAAAGAGCAGTATGCTGGTGAACATTCTCAAAATAAGATAACTCTGAATAGCATGATGATGGAGTTTTAAAGATAACGGCTAACCTTGTAACCAATGATCATTTCTTGAAGAACGTTTCCTTGTGCTATTGAAGAATGATCTTCTAGGGATTTTTCCATTTTTGGCAGTATTTTAAGTCTTAAGCTTGTAAATGTAATTTATATGGGTCTTTCTCTTAGCTATGGTTTTCTGTAGTTTTCAATTAAGATGGTCAGTTGACCCCTTGCACGATATGTAAAATAACAATGGTCTATATAGCTTTGTATTATTGTACTTGCAAATTTCCGTACATTTGTGAATTTTTTTTTTTTTCTGTATTTTTTTTTTTTTTTTTTTTTTTTTTTTTTTTTTTTTTTTTTTTTTTTTTTTTTTTTTTTTTTTTTTTTTTTTTTTTTTTTTTTTTAATAAGGGACAATTTCATTCCGGAGTGAAATTTACAAAAGGGATGTATAATCCATGATGTTTACACAAGACCTTCCCAATTTGCAATGAGGGAGGTATAACTATAGGAAGTAAAAATATTAGACAGTTTACACCAAGATATAGCTTGGTAAACAACATTGTCAAAAAGTTTTGTGTAGGTCTGTGTCGTTTCTGCAAATATTCTCTGATTTCTTTCTTTACACAAATTCCAAAAGAAAGCCATGATGAGGTTTTTCCATAATAGGGCTTTTGCATTCTTGAAAGGGTGGTACGTTAAGGCCATATCCAAAAAATCCTTTACCTCTCTAGAAAATGTGAGATGTCATCCGAATATATTAAGAATTGTTGTCCAGAAATTTTGAGTGTATGTGCATTGCATAAACAAGTGACTTTGTGATTCGTTTGCTTTCTTGCATAGTGGACACCAATTTAGAGAGAGAGTGATGTAAGACATTCTTTTTTGAAGATTTTCACTTGTGCCGATGGCATTATGCGCTATTTCCCAAAGGAAGAACTTCACCTTTTTAAGTTGATGTCCTTTCCATATTGCCTTTGCAAGCGGGGGATTTATTGCTTCTACTTTTTCCCCATATCTATCCTCAAGGATTTTGTAGAAAAAAGCTGTCAGCACTGGGCCAGTGCTAAGTAAGTGAGTGACCTAATTGAAAAAAGATGGTATCTGGTAAATGATTGGTTCAACTATGAATCACCAAAAATGGGAATTGTAATCAATCCACTTATCTGAGTTGCATTCACTTTCTACTAACGTGATGCATTCATATATAAATGTTTTCCAGTTTCAACAAGTCTTGGCAAAAGCAGAAAATATCCAAACAAGACAGGGATTTACAAAAAGACAGGAACTTATAGATGATTAAGTCTGACACTGTTACTTAGTATAAAATCCAGGTACTGATTAAATTACTACATGTAAAGCCCAAGCCCACTACTAACCTATATTGTCTTCTTTGGATTTTTTTGGGCTTCCTCTCAAAGTTTTTAAAACGCGTCTGCTAGAGAGAGGTTTCCACACCCTTATAAAGAATGTTTCGTACTCCATCCTCTTTGGGCTTTCCCTTTTGAGCTTCCCCTCAAGGATTTTAAAACACGTCTACTAGGGAGAGGTTTTCACGCCCTTATAAAGAATATTCCATTCCCCTCTTCAACCGATGTGAGATCTCACAATCCACTCCCTTTGGGACCCAGCATCCTCACTCGCATTCGTTCCTCTCTCCAATCAATGTGAGATCTCACAATCCACCCCGCTTCAAGGCCTAAAGAAACGCACTTTAAAAACCTTGGGAGGAAGCCCGAAAGGGAAAGCCCAAAAAGGACAATATCTACTAGCGGTGAGCTTGGGTCGTTACATTAACCCTAACCAGGTTCGAGCTGTAGGTTTAAAATAGCAAACGGAGAACTTCTAGCACAAGTGTATGGTATTAGCAGAATGATTATCATCTCAAGCATGATAAAGAGCTGAATATACCATTGGTATTAGCTAAGCTAACAGCCTAACACTAAAACAATTACATAAACACCGTCCATAGCCCATAACAATCAGCATATACAGTAGGAAATAGCTTATAAGAAGCAATTATCGAATTTCATCCTCCTCAATAATGATGACCTTGTGAGTTTCTATCTATTTCAACAGTATCTGGGGCACAGAAAAAAAAAGAAAGAAAGAAAAAGCGCACCATACAATAGACATAACTAGTAATCTCACAACCCAACTCTTATAGGTGTATAATTCCAGGTCCTTAATCCGGTTCAGTTACCCATCCCCATTATTACTTTCAGTACAGAATTCTAATGTAGGTCCCAAGAGTACATTTTGGTGAAGTAAGGATCTAAGCAGAGATATCACCTCACTTCCATATTCAGGCCATGAAACACAGAGGGCTCCCTTGATATTCTTCATCTGACAACGTCCAAGCAAAGCAGCAGCCAAGCCATCTACAACACTACCAGATGGATAGTAATCAAGGCCCTTTAACAATGGTGAACCACCATAACCCTCATCTCGACTCTTTCTTTCAGAAGACGTCTCCAGCTTGAAAGCAAGAGTCTCATCAGTTAAGAGCCTGCCCCGAAAATTTTGGCTCTGAAGACTATCCAAGATCAGAACCCTCTCAGGAACAATTTTATCACCAAGCAGTAGTTTTGCAACAAGAAGGGATCTCTCTGCAGGAACAGAACACTGAACGGAAACAAGGATAACTTGTTCATTATCTTGATCAATGGAGTAAATGTTACAAGATTTGTCATAAACCGAGGGTTGGATATGGTTCCCAGAGAAAGGAATTTCAGGTAAGATGAGACTTCCAATAAGGGTTTTATCAGATAAATGATGGAAAAGATGTAGAGAAGGGGAAGAAATGGCAACGACAAGTAAAGATGGGCAGAGAGGTTTAGTAGGTTTAGGATTGGATAACAATAGAAATGGGGAAGGAAGAGGTGGAATGGAGGAGCGAAATTGTTAATATCATCTTGGAAAAACCTTGAAGGAGGAGGAGCCTCCGTTAGGATATCTTCCATTTTGTTCCTGTAAAAAAAATGTCATAGGAGTGCTTAATCCAGGCAGGGATCTCCAACAAAAATACCATCCTTCAACGCCTTATCAGTTCACAATAATCAGAATCACAACCTTCTTCAGAAAAATTAAGATAGAAAACAACCAGCAACAAACATCAAGCCAACTAAACCAAAATTCACGACATAATAACTCTTCAAAATGAACAGATTTCAAAGCTTAAACTGGGGAAGCCTCCTACATCAAATCTAAGCTCCTACCTAGATTCAGAATCAGGTTACTCCACATAACTTTTTCAACAAGTCCTCAGATAAGGCTTCTCCTTCTGATCTTTTTTGTGCCTAATCAAGAAATTCTTTACATAAATTTTTCTGTATCACTCAGCCCTCGCTCATCAGTTTAGGTTTAGAGACCCCTCATTCCTAAGGCCTTTCTGTTTTGATTAATATATTAATTCCTCTGCTACCCATCATTAAAACAAAATAACTTATTCGACAAGAAATCAAACTCGATCGCAAATTTCCAAGAGCAAAAAGGCGTAGATCATTATATATGTTTTTTGCCAGAGTTGCTTCGTTTTCTATGAAAAAAGGCAGGACCTCGGCTTAGTCCCACAAATTAACGAAATGCGTATGGAAAATTAAAGATCTAAATTGAACTAAAAGAACATATAAAGGGGGAGCAGCGGGGAGAAGGCGGAGATACCAACCGGAAGAGAGGCCGTCGTCAGGGAAATTTAGTTCGGCAACTGGAAACTAGGATGCTTGGAGCTCTTCCTTATGAACGTGAAGGGAACTGGCTTTCGGTTTCTTTTTACAGACGTGAAGATGAAAAAGGTTTAGTGTTCTCCTTTAATATTTTTAATCAAATATATAGTTGAATATAATTTTTTTTTTCACCAAATATATAGTTTACTCATTTAATAAGCTAAGTGTAAAAGTGAAGCAAAACGTGGGTAGAGGGCCACAATCATTACTTATAAAGGTACAAAGCATAAGTAATAATGAGCCAAAATAAATAATATGGGCTGATAGTGAACTTGAACTGTTACAGCTATTAACATAGTCAAGCACCGAACGAAGTTCTAGTGAGGACATTGAGCCGACGATACGTAATGGGCCAAAACAGACAATGTATATATGTTAGTGTTAGTGTTAGGGAGGACGTTGAGCCTTCAAAGGGGTAGATTAAGAAATTTTACATCGATTAGAGAGAGAAACCACTACATAACAAATGTATTTGATAATGACATTATGTAACGAGTTAAAGCGGATAATATCTATTAGGGTTGCAATAGAAGTAAGCTTTATTATTAAAATCAGAAACCATGTTGAAAATAGTTCTCAAACAAGCCATTGATTACAATTACTGTTCAACAGAGAAAAACACAGCAGAATCTTGGGGATCTGGCAAGCTTCTTCTTAAACACAGCAGTGAGCAGAGGATGACGGTTCATCTTTCAAGTCAATGAAATCATTTATTGGTATAATTTTACATAAACAGAGAGAAATGAAGATTCAGTAGTTAATGAGAAAGAATAAATAATGAAGTCAAGGGTGAAATTCTGAGTTCAAGCTTAATATACCTCTGCAAAACAATCAAAAGCAAAACAGGCCGAAACCTTCAAATCAAGATTTAAATTCCTTCAACTGCCAACCCTTCTCCATCTTGCATCCTTCACTTACCCCGACCGAATGTATTGATGAAATGATACACGGTTCGTTCATCCAACTAGACGACGCCACGACTGACTTATATCCAGTTTGGCAAGAACCACATTGTATGACTAATCTCTATCTCATCTGCCCACAAAACAACGTGGAAACTCACTAGCAGTCCAAGTAATGAGATAAACAAATTTAAGTATAAAAGTCCAGTATTGTCACCCTTAAAATCCACAAAAAGGTTGGAAAAAGTTGATAAGAAATATAATTATTTCACAAATAATCTCACATTAGTTGGGAGGAGAACAAAACATTCTTTACAAGGGTGTGGAAAAACTCTCCCTAACAGATGCGTTTTAAAAACCTTGAGGGGAGACCCGAAAAAAAAAAAAACTCAAAAAGGACAATATCTGCTAGTGGTAGGCTTGGGCAGTGGACAAATGGTATTGGAACCAGACATCGGGCGATGTGTGAGTGAGGAGGCTAAGCCCAGAAGGGGGTAGATACGAGGCGGTATGCTAGTAAGGATGCTGGGCTCCGAAGGGGGGTGGATTGGGGGGTCTCACATCGATGGGAGAAGGGAACGAAGGCCAGCAAGGACGCTGAGCCCCTAATGGGGTGGATTGTGAGATCCCACATCAGTTGGGGAGGAGAACGAAACATTCTTTATAAGGGTGTGGAAACCTCTCCCTAGCAGATGCGTTTTAAAAACCTTAGGGGGAAGCCCGAAAGGGAAAGCCCAAAGAAGACAATATCTGCTAGCGGTGGACTTAGGTGGTTACTTCTAAAAAGGGGTGAAGTTTTAAGACTATATGTAAGTGTCAAAAGCTTAAATGCAGAATGATAATCATGTGCAGCAGCAAATGCAAGTTTCTGTTTCTTGTAAGACCATCCAAATGGTTTAAGCATTCATACCAGACCTTTCATGTATACAACAGTAGTATTTTCTGCATTGATTGTTCCTTGTCAATCTTCATGATCTTCTTCACCCTCAGAATCTGCAAAGTCAAACGAATTGTGAGAGAGCCGAAACAAAAACTCTAAAAATATTTTTCAATATCGAGAACAAAATAAGCCAACGAGGGTCGCCACAAAACTTTTCTCTATCCCATAAACGTTTCATTAACCTCGACCTCGACCTCGACCATATACATAAAAATGAAGTAAAAACCGAACGTCATTTACACGGGTGGATATAATCACCTGAACGAACATCTTCACTAATCTGTCCTCTAGCTTCGATTTGTTTAACCAGCATTCGATAAATGAGCACCCACCAATATATGTGAAGAACTAAAAGGCAAAATAGAAGAGTATTGAACACATAATAGTAGATTGGTCCATCAACTGGATGTTTGTTCTTGTCCAATACAAGGAGAACTTCATAACTGAAATAAAATGGGGAGAAGAATTAGGCAACAATATATGAGTTCATTGGACATCATGTAACTTATCCCTCTCAAAAGTTACAAACCTTGTGCTCCAAAGGATCCAAAATGGATAGTAGATGAGACGTAACAATAACCAAGACACAACAAAAAGTACAAACGCAATGCTAGCCAACGTCTCGGCGCCTCCGTATTTGGACATCTTTCCTATCTCAAGGAAAACATCATTTGCATCATGAAGAGCAAGCACCACAGAACCGACACGAGCAAATCTACAAGAACAATATAACATGTTGGTCTCTCCATAAATTGGACTAATGTTCTGCTAAGTACCATTTAACAGTATTTACACAGCATGATCAGTTTTCAGTGCAATATGTAAATGAACACAAAAGACAGGTTAAGCCCAACACATTTCATTCTTTTAGTAAGTGGTATCATCCAATCAAAACACTTCAAAGCTTTAAAGAAAGAAAACAGTAGGACGTACCGAAAGATGTAGGAAAGTACGATGAGAATGAGCGTTGCTACATGGTGGCTCATGGACACCCCGAAGTCCGAACGTCTTGTTTCCCAAAAAATCAAAGCAAATATGGAGTACGTATAAAATCCAGCCGCATACATATATAATCCCTTCAATTTCAACCTGAAACATATAAGATAATAATCGATGAAATCTTGTAACACTTGGCCTCTTGATCAAAGAGACAAGTTTTATGTTAGTTGAGCTATATTCACGTTGATTAACACTTCAAATAATTTAGTTTTCGTATTTTTATAAACAATGATAGAATCATGAATCTGCTCATAATTATAATCGTGTAAGAGTGAACTTCATGACAACACTGAACCATCACAAATAACAGATTAGTCTAAGACTCTTACTTAGCACTTTGGTCAGGCCAGACCTGATCTCCTGGTCCTACCCAAAAATGTTTCGTGCTAGTAAACCAAGGCTCGTCATACGTAACGGATAGAGCCAACAGCTCTGCAGAAACAAAGTAAACACATTTCCAGGCTGACTCCTTAAATTTCCTTATCTTCTTCTGTTTCTCATCCGTATTCGCATCCTTCAGCGGATATCCCTTGCCAAAGATCAATCTTCTTCCCACTTTCTGTAAGATGAATTCATACCATGGCAGGTTAAGAACTAGAGCACAAACATAATTTTAGTAGAAAGGGAAGGATTCCAACAAGAAAGATGTATTTTCATGATCATTCTTGTATCATGTTCATAAAAAGATTAATTAGAATCTTTATTTAAGCATTAGATTCATTGATACATGGGTTAGATAATCAAGAAACTGCTCAAAATTCCACAATCAGGCACCTGAAAAATTCATGTATATGTAATTACATTATAGTTTAAATGGAATATAAAATGTATCCAATGTGCTTGAAGTTCCAGAAAGTTCATCATGTCGAGCTTGTGAACTTCATAATACAGAGTACCCTACAACACAATGAGTATCCATCGCCTAAAAGCACAAGCGCATGATCAAACAAGAAGGTATCTAGTTTGGATAACATAAACAACAAAAAATTTCCTATTTTGGACCATCCTCAACACAATGAGTATCTAAATTAAAACTTGAGTAGTGAATGAATGAGCGATTGAACCAGAGCTCCATTCCAAATACTCAACGCAGATTAAAGCCAAATCGTCATTATGCAAAAACAGATGGCAATAAAAGAAACATAATCATTCAATGAACAATCAATACATAACCCGGTCAACGGTCAATTGAATCTCAATTCAATCAACGAAATCAGCAAATCCAATGATTAAACAAAATCACTGCAATGATTGAAAGTTACGAAAGTTGAAAACGGAAGAGAAGTGAATAGAATACCTCAAAGAGAAGCCTGTCGAGGAAAAATCGAACAGTGGGAAAGAGGAGCGCAAAAAGGGGAAGAAAAGTGAAATCCTCATAAGAAGGGAAAGATTCATGCTCCCAATCGATTGACCTGAAAGAATCAATGAAACCCATCTGGGATTTTGGGGTTTTTGATCGAGTGAAGAAGGAAGAAGACGATGAACGGATCGAAAAAATCAACGGAATGAATCCTCTCCCTGTTCTCTCTCTCTCTCTCTCCCTCTCTCTGGGAATTGTTTTCCTCTCACGGAGTGGTGTTTTGTGTGGGTTGGCAGCGACTTTCACTCGGCCAAGTGGTACGAAATTTGTGGGCCGCGCGGGTCAATGTTCGTGTTGGACAAACTTCCCTTTTTCAATTTTCATTGAATGCAAGCTTTCCCAAGCTGACCATTCCCCTCTTTACAATTATTAACCTTATTTTACACCATGTAGTCAGATACCGAACCTATCCAAGTTGGTATCCAATTCGATAATTTCGAACGACTGACCTCTAACTAATTGAGTTTCGTTTACGATGATAGTATCGTTTCTTCAATTTTTTTCACTATTACAATGGCTGGTAAAAACGTTTATGAATATGAGTTTATATATTGTTGTTGAACTCAACTTTCACATGACAACATCATTAAAATTTGTTTGAGATTATAAAGAATTTACCTTTTTCGAATGGAAAAAGAGTATTTATATGACTCTTTTATTATTTTATGATTTTTTCGGATTAGATCAAAGGAGGGCCTAATTGGGCTGGACTAGGGTAACCCGAGACTAAGGGCACACGCCCTATAAGGTCGACTAGTGAACTCGAGCTTCTACCTAAGTTTTCGGCTCAATTTTCTTTGTACTTTAGCTCATTTTTTTCTACGTTGAGCTTTCTTCCATATTTGTCATTGATTTTTTTTCATGGCCCAATTTCACTTTGTAACATTATCCCGGGCTCCATAGTTGGGATTCATGAGCTTTTAAGTTAGAATTCTCCTTTATTTTTATTATCTTTTTACTTTATTTTTAAAATAAGTAAATCGCGCTTATAGACCTTGGCCTCTTATGTTGTGATCAGCCTCAACCTATCAGAGGACAGGGTGGAATTAATCTCCAGTGGCACTAGTAAATAATTGATTTATTGGTAATGATTATATCTATAAACATATCTTGTTCTGAAGATGTTCAACTTTAAGCCTATAACCAGGTGATTTTTATTTGATTAATTTAAAATTTTAACTAATTAATTTTATGTGAAAGCTTATAATCAATTAACTTAGGGTAACATTAAATAAATATTTAATATATATTAGATGTATATATGTATCGAAGGTAAAAATATATATATTTAATTTGAAGCGTTTAAATTAATATTTAATATATTAAAGGTAAAAAGAAAATGGGTCATTTTTCAATATTTACTAAGAAGAGAAAGAAAAAAAATAAAGTAATTTTAAGTTTTAAATATATTTTTTAGACAAAGTTGACATGGAATATTTTTTATTAATTAATTAATTTTTTTTTTTTAACGAACTATAAATTAGTTGGGTAGGTTTGGCTTGCGAAGGATTTTCTTCTTTTTTCACCCAAGTACGATTACGTATGGACGAAGAATCTAAACGCGATTTGGATTCAAATCTTCAACTGGAATATGTTCCCCGTATCGATTTTGTGGAATCCAAATTGAAGATTTGAGAACATCAATAATCTTGGCTAAAACCAAGATGAAGGTAGCAAGGAATTTGATGCCCAGGTACCAAAAAAAAGAACATTCGAGTTCAATTGCTTATGGGTTTGTCTAGATGATTGCTTATTTTTCAGATGTTTTTGCTTTTTTGATTTGTGTGTAATCTTTTAGATATTTTACCTCTATCATCTCCATTTCCACCACCATTTTATGTAATTGGTTCTTACTTTTATTTGATCTCGGATCATATAATTGTTTTTCACTTCACATGTTACAAAACTCTGGCTTAATTTGATTAGGTGGTGTTCCGTTACGTTGATTTGTGTTTTTGCCCACAAGATGTTTGATAAAAGTCCCCAGAGAAAACACCGGTAAGGTGTTTTCTCAACTAATTTTGATTCAGATGTTCAAATATTCAGTGATGTCTCTTGATATGGACGCTGATTTTGGAAGTCTATTGGTTAAAAGTTCTTATTTCTTCAATTTATACAGCTGAGTAAAGGATAAAGGCTTATTAAAACCATGCCAAAACAGAGAGAAACTCGAAGAACTATGTGAGAAAATAGCTACGATCTTAGTGATACAGGGAAGGAAACTTCTCTACTCGTTAGATTGTCTTGAGAGGATTCAGCTACGAGATCAAAGGTATTGCGGGGGGCTTACTCCAGCTCTCTCAAGTGAGTTGAATAAGGACTTCCCATTTGAAAGTCAGTGAGTATCTGTCGAAAATCCATTGCTTCTTCTTTGAGTTTGACATTCTCTTGAATAACCTGCTGTTGAGACTCCGTTAACTGATTCAACTTCTCCATAAGATTATGATTCTCTGTCCTAAGCCGAACCACCAGTGACCAAAGTTCATCAAGATGCTTCCGTTTTCTCATCCGTGACCTTCTTGCCGATTCCCGATTTGATATCATTCTCCTCCGCCTCCTCTCATCAACGCTGATCCTAGTCTTCTGGTTCTGATCATCACCTTCATCAGTAGTAGAGGCTGAGTTAAGAGGAATATAAGACAATAATTCATTGACATTGAGGCTTTGGATCATGCCATACTTTTCAGGTTCTGGAAAATGGGCTCCCGAGATTTTCATACTCAAAATTATAAGCAATCTGAAGAGGTTTACAAGGAGATTGTGAGCTGATAGGGAAGCACAAAACATAGGATAAGAGGACTCTTTTATAGGAAGGAAACAAAAAAGGAAAGGGATTAGAATTATTTAAAATGACATCGCCAAAATGTGATATGCACATTCTATTTCAACGCACCAACATTTGTATCCTTATATAAAATTCATCAAAGTAGTAGCGTGTCCTTTAAATATTGTGTGTCATTTAAGTATTGGATGTGACATGGATAGTTTCTGGCTTGTTCTGCATTTTATAAATGCTTCAAGAATCCACTTCTATCAAATAAGAATATTTTAGCAAAGGAATGAAAAGTTACATATTGTGGGCAATCACTTGATCATATCTTGGGTTATGGAGTCTACTGATCGTATCATTGTTGGGTTATGGAGTTTGCTGCCTATTTATAACTTACTCAATTGTTATGCATAGTAAAGCTATATACGGTAAATGGTCATATACAGTAAACGGTCATATATAGTAGATGACTATTTATATTAAAAAGCTGGTAGCGCTCTGATGATTACATTACCTTAGATGCTATATTTGGTAAAACTATATATAATGAGCTAAACCATATATATATATTCTTGGAGAGTGCTTTGAAAATGTATTTTCTGTATTCTCTTTTACAGTACATACTTGAAATTATCAATATAAACCTCTAGCCAATATTCTTCCTTGCATTTTCTCTCTCTTGTTCTTTGTGTTCATCTGGATTGAGTGTGTGCGTTGTGCGATCCTAGCAATTATTTCCATACTAGTATAGTGCTTGTCTAACACATGTAACACACTATTCTTCTGATGCTTAAGTTAGATTTGAGTTATATAAACTTAGTTATTCATTGTCTGAGTTATGAATATGTAAATTAAGTTCATATGCATTGCTACTTTGGTTAGGATGTTCAGTTTGATGAGTAAGTTTCCAACTAGAGCTCTGTACTATTTAGCTCTCACCATATATATGTATTTCCCCAGGTACCTTGGCTTCTTTCACCCCGCCCAGTTTGGAGATATGGCAGTGCCTACCTTCTCCAACAAACTCTTTGAAGTAGCCACCTTAGATAAATGCCTCTGTTTCCACCTTAAGGTAAAAATCTTGTTTTACGTTCTGTACATTTTACTTTTCTTACTTCACTACTATTAACACATACTTCACGATAGTAATGACATTTGGTTGGGGCAAGAAGATGCCTTTAGAATAGTGGGCTAAAGCTCAAGCTCACTGCTAGCACATATTGTCTTCTTTGGGCTTTCCCTTTTAGGCTTCTTTTCAAGGTTTTTAAAACTCGTCTATTAGGGAGAGGTTTCCACACTCTTATAAATGGTGTTTCGTTCTCCCCCCTAACCAATATGGGATCTTACAATCCACCCCCTTCGAGGCCTAGCGTCATTGCTGACACTCATTCCATTCTCCAATCGATGTGGGACCCTCGCAATCCACCTCCCTTTAGGGCCAGCGTCCTTACTGACACACCGCCTTGTACCCACCCCCTTTCAGGGCTCAACCTCCTTGCTGGCACATCGCCCAGTGTTTGACTCTGATACCATCTGGAACAATCCTAAATTTTCGAATCTAAGATCATTACTATAATCCTAAAGGAGGAGGCATCTGCTAGTGGTGAATTGGATTGGACTGTTATACGTTCATAGAAATATTCATGGGAGATGATACACCACAAGTGGGGTAAAACAAAATTATGGAGGACTTGTTACAACATCATGGATCAAACAACTTGGAACGTTGAAGCATTTGCCTATAAAGGAGGAGGCTTGAATTGACTTCAAATTTTCTTGTAACATATTCATTCATGAGTGCATTGATTCAATTCGAGTTCAAAGGATAAGAAATTCATAATCCTATTTAAATTTTTGTAACTCGTGTATATGATACTAATACATCAATTTTACATCTACTCGTATCTATCATCGATGGATTGATCTTATGTTTAAATCAAAGACAAAAGACATAAACATATCTAGATTATAAAGGATAGACTTAATCTATCAATGATGATCAATGTTTGACGTGTTGATGTTTATGAAATAGTCGAGATCTAGATTCTACAGAAATGTTGATGAAATTTTGAAAAAAATGATAGGAAATTGTCTGAATTAGTGGATGACTTACTTATGCTATGATTTAACCCTTTTAAATCATTATTTCCAAGTATAAACAATATCGATGTTTTCAAAAATGTAATAACTCAAGTTCACTACTAGCAGATATTGTTTGTTTTGGCTCGTATGTATGTTCTCTCTTCTCCAACCAATGTGAGATTTTACAATCCATCCTCCTTGGGGACCTGGGTCCTCGCTGCACACTGATCGCTCGGTGTCTACGCCCAGCTTTGGCTCGTTACGTATGCTTCGTTCTTTTTTTCAATTGATGTGAGATCTTACAATTCACTTCCCTTGGGGGCCTAGTGTCCTCGCTGGCACACTAACCACTCAGATGTCTACCTTCATTGGGGGCCAACGTCCTCAGCACACAACTTTGATACCATTAGTCACACCCCAAGTCCATCGCTAGCAAATATTATCTATTTTACCCCGTTACGTATCGTCAACCTCACGGTTTAAAAATGCATCGCCTCACCATTGTAATAAATACTTCATTCTCCTATCCGATTTGGGATCTCACACTCCCCTTCCGGAGCCAGCGTCCTCGCTAGCACACTGCCACATTAGTCAAAGTCCAAGCCCATCTAGTGGATATTGTCTGCTATCATTTTTAATTATTAGATATATATATATATATATATATATGTAAATGTCAATGCCATTAAAATTTTTAGAAATTATGAAAATTGTTTGAATTATTCGAAGGGACTAATTAGGCTATAATTTGACAAATTTTAATCAAATATCTTAAAAGACATTCAAATAATCGTGAAATTTTGAAGAAATTGATTATATTAATAACTGAAACATTAACATATACTATATTGTTTTTTATATTCATATTTATGTAACAATCGATGAATAAATTCACAGTATTACAAGATTTACTGAATAGGGATATGCAGACCAAGGAAAGAATAAATACTTCAATAATTTAATGCTTTTATTAAAGTTCATGAATATTATAAAATAAAAGTAAATTAATAAAAATACACAGACTTTTAACTTTCTTCAAAAAAAAAAAAAAAAAAAAAAAAAAACTTTATGTTTAGTTTTACCAAAAAAAAAAAAATCATTTTGCTTCATACATATATTTAAACTTTAAAAAAAATTATTAATATTTTCCAAACTTTTTTAACGATTTACCAAAATAATCTTAAAACATTTTTAAAAAATTAATAATATGAATTAAAAGTTACATTAATACTTTTAATTTATTTATAAAAAAAAAACTTTTATCAACATCTATAGATCATCTCTTCTCGATTACTTCTCACTCATCTACTTCAACTTAAACTTTAAATAAAAAAGATATATTCTTTCCTTTACGAGCATTTTCTAAGAAATTTAAATACTCAAATAAATGATTTGTTAATAGATAATTTTTTTAAAAAAATTAGTTATTTGAAGGTAGATAAATGATTTTCGATCATAAAAAAATTACATAATTTTTCCAAAACTTGATTGGTTTTTATTCTGTCTATGTTTTTTTTTTTTTTTTCTTTCTGAAAGTTGAAGATTTTTTAAATAAAATATTATTGGATATTTTATTTTATTTATTTATTTATTTTTGAAAGTGGACATAAATAAACAATAAAAGAGAGAAGGAGAATGTGATACATGTGCGTGAAGACTGAAGGCAAAAAGGAAAAAGATTGCATGGGTTGAAATTATTTAGTCCCACATCGGAAAAATTCACGGAAAGGAGCGACGAAGTTGCTATAAAATGGGTCCCTTTCCCTTGTTTTGGCCAAACTGCTTTCAAATTATATTATGGGGTCGGCTGCAAATGTGGAATGTTGACCAAGAGATTAGTCGGAATTGTCGTCCAAGTCACTCTGCGGCACCGACAAGATGTAAACATTTCTCCGAAAGGTAAAGGTAATTATCAATCTACTGGTATGAGATTTTGGTTTTTGGTGGAAAACATTTATATATGAGATTTTAGTAAATGCAATTGTGAGGAGGAGTAGATGTTCGTTTAAGAATATTGCTACACCCAAGTTTTGTGTGTTATCTAATTTCCTTCACTCAATTTCTGTTTTTTGCTTTTTTTTGTTTGAGCTATGGTTTCCCCTTGTCAAATAAATTTTCGGTTGTTGTCCCGTGAAGGTGGCAAGAACATGTCTCATTGCATTTATTATTCAACAGGATTTTTATGTGAAAATTGTCTGTCTACAGGATAGAGAATTTTTCTTCAACTTCACTCACTGCCCAGAATCAATAGACGTTCACCTCACTGCATCTAATTCCATAGCTTGCTAAGAAACAAATTCTCTGAACAATTAAATCAATTAACTGCTTCAAACAAAATTCTATGAAATTTTCTGTTTCACAATCACCATAGGAAAATCATTTCTACCCATTGAGAAGCGCTTGATGATCTGTAATTGTCAGTTCAAAAGCCCTAAAATCCGTTTAATTCCAACTCAAAGTTTAGGTTGGATACAAATTATCATGAGGTCAATGCTTTCAAGATAAAAGAACAAGTTCCTCCACAAGATAGGATGAGTTCAATATTCTTGGCACGTAACTTAAGACATGATTGGGAAGGGTTCATGAAGCTAAATTTGAAAGGAAAATTTACAAATGCTAAAATTTAACTAATCGTGATCAATTAAAAACAAGATAATTAGCAGGACTTTCGATAGCCTCCCAAGGTTTCCTAATACTCCTCCTTACATCAATTCTTAAATAAAATGAGAACATCTAATGCCAAAACATTACTAAAATGTAGAACAAAAATTAATCAAAGAGACTTAAACAAAGAGACACAGATTAACTTAGTTTGGAGAGCTAAGTTAATCTCACAAGAATCAAAGTATTTACACAAAGTGTATATTAATTAAAGGGTTTACAAAGTGTATATCTTGCACTCTCACTTAATAAATTCCTCCAACAAAATTTCTCTCAAATATCCTAGACAATGAAAATATATACACTCTCACTTAATAAATTCCTCCAACAAAATTTCTCTCAAATATCCTAGACAATGAAAATATATACACCTCTCACTTAATAAATTCCTCCAACAAAATTTCTCTCAAATATCCTAGACAATGAAAATATATACACTCTCACTTAATAAATTCCTCCAACAAAATTTCTCTCAAATATCCTAGACAATGAAAATATGAACCAAAATGGTTATAGACTAAATAAGAATTATAAACAAAATAGATGAGGGAATTTCATTTACAAAATGACATTCAAACTTTACACCTAAACCATTTCATTGCCTTCAAGTTAGAAAATCGTCATCGGTCTCAACTAGTGTCTTCTTTTTGCGAGATCTTTGATGAGTCGTGATATCTTTGGAGTTGATACACTGATCCCAACAATTCTCAACGGGCTTAGGATCTAAAAGTTTCTGAGTCAATATCTTGCACCTTTTCCTTTCTGGGCCAAATTTATCTTGCTGGTTGCATCTTTGCCCTTCTCGAGGCACCACTTCATCTAAGTCTGCTACCCTTGGTCTCCCCTCAGCAGAAATGTTATGTCCTGATGCTAGGTTCAATCTGAGTTGTATTTGAGGTAAGGAGGGTCTTGGACTGCATATTTTATGTTTGAGGAAGTTCTGTTTATTAGAACTTTTCGATAGACCTAGAAAACATCAATAGATTCCTTACTATATATTATATATATGAAATTGGGCTTACCCATTCTGAAGCACAAAATGATGAACAAATCGTTCTTATTTGACATTCTTATATGATAACATGATGTAGAGGGGGAATACATGAAAGACAGGAGCGAAGCATAACACATATTAGACAGTAGTAGAGTATCTGCCATGAACGAATGAGTAATAGAGCCCCCAAATCAGCAGGAGCAAAGCAGAAGCCATGGAAGCCACAGAATACAAGGTATAAAAGGTAGCTAAGTTGGGTTTATGAGGAATCAAAAGAGCACCCAAAGCACCTAAGAATGCAAAGGTAATGGACAAAACGAAGGCATCAAAGGCAGAGGAAGGATTGGATAAGCCATCGAAAATCAAACCGACCCCCCCTCCCTCACTTCTTCCTGCCAATATCAACAAGATTGAGAGAGTGTTCAAAGACAAATACAAAATGGGCTTCAAAAGTTTTGTCAACGGAGGGACGAAAGCATTTTGGTCAGATTCCTTTATCTCCTTCATGCTCGTTGCATTCAGAGAGGAAGAAGAAGGATACCTCAGCTCATTATTGCTGTTTCAACAATCTTCGTGCGTTATGTAGGAAGCGTTTAGGAAATTTCCTGGAAATTACGGAAGGGAACAACTTACTCCCCAAGTCGTTTGAGAAATTTCCCTAAAGGACTAAAGTGGGATGTGGGGCCAAAGGGCTATGATTGTCCTTTTTAAACCAAAAAATATATATATTATTATGTAAAAATTATAAATTTTATTTCCCAACTAATAATTTATGGTAGAAAAGCATTTCCACACCAAGTGATCAAAATTTCCACAAAATCTACTTTTTTTTTAAGAGAACTTGTGGGAGAATCAGTGAAACTTCCCCCCCCCCCCCCCCCCCCCCCCCCCCCCCCCCCCCCCCCCCCCCCCCCCCCCCCCCCCCCCCCCCCCCCCCCCCCCCCCCCCCCCCCCCCCCCCCCTCTATATTCCAGAATTCTCCATGCAGCATATAAGAAGGGAACCAGATTGAATGGAACTACGGGAAACCACTTGAAGAACATTGACCAAATCCTTATTGTTTCCCCACCCAATGGATTCAACCACACAACAAGAAACCTCCCTGGATATGAGTAGTCTTACCTGGGGAGGGGGATTATCCACGCCATCAGAATTCCAGTCAATTAAGATCAAAATACCTAGGCCTCAACCAGCCAACAGCCCTCAGAATCTTGGGAAGATAAACCTTGTTCTCGCTTTCCAGGCAATTTTATCTTTGTCCATCAGTGCTCCCACTCGATCTCCTCCACTTCCCACAGGTCTATTTGTTGCTCTTATGTTGATCAGCTTTGCAGTTTCGTATGCTGGAGTTTTCCTTAGGAATGCATTCCCAAGATTTGCACTTCTCTTGGAAAAACTCGGTACTCTTTTTCTTGCATTTGGCGTCTGCATAATATCAGGAGGTCTACTAGTCCCTCAAAACTACGCTTGGATCTGTTGGTTGGCAGGTGGCTGCTCCTGCTTGCTACCCTTTATTATCTCATTCATGTGATTTTGACAGAAGGATGCACTACAGAGTCCATGCCCATATGTGTGTGTGTGTGTGTAGTTTAACCTCTTTTACAGTCTCTTAGTCTACAACTTACAATGACATGATAACTCTGCCTGTGTCATGTATCAAGCATCAATTCTTCTACGCAGCCGGTCCCAAGCCCGGAACAAAGGAGGAGGGTGGTGTCATCAGACCATTGGAACTTCAGCTTGTTCTGAAATTGTAGCTGTCAGTATTTTCTTTTTAGTAGTAATAAAGATGGCAGCTTCGCGATACATGGGAGTAACCACATATTGCTGAAGCTTAGCCATCACCTAAGGTAGGTCTAGAGTCTTGTACTAGAAATGTGTGTTGAGTCGTGCAATTAATAGTAGAATGGACATCTTTATGTTGTTTTATATTACGTGAGTCCTCCTACACAAACATACACACGAGATGAACTACAACGACAATTGAACACCAGCCCAAAACAAGAAAGATTACATAAAAGAATCTCATTTCATGAGATGGAAACCAAATTGAAACACCAAAAGTATCTTCCATAAGATGGAGACCAGTAAAACAGCGAAGCAATCAGAGAACTTTGAAGACCAGAATGATATTAAGCTCCACATCGGTTTCAGACGACAAAGGTTTCATCCTTTTGCCTTACTTCTCTTACAGTAATCTCATCCACTCAATACAACAAGCAACACCAGTTAATGAGTATATTCTCTTGTAGAGATTGTAAGAGCCCAGACCTACACTCTCTGGAAAGAGTTCATTGGGAAGAGGTTTTAGATTGAGTTCATTGGGGAGAGGTTTCCATTCCCTCGTCAACCAAGGGGAGTCCATTGGAGAGAGGGAGCCGATTGGGGAGAGGATTCCATTCCCTCTCCAACTGAGGTAACGAGCCTAGTGGGGAGAGGTTTTCGTTCCCTCTCCAACCGAGGTAACGAGCCTAGTGGGGAGAGGTTTTCGTTCCCTCTCCAACCGAGGTAACGAGCCTAGTGGGGAGAGGTTTCCGTTCCCTTTCCAACCGAGATTGGATCTAGTATAGATACAAAAATGATTTGTTTGTTTCTCTTCAAACCGATGCGAACTCTAGCATAGATACAGATAAAATCTGCATCCATTCAACCAAAACCATATTTTCCCTATAATTCAAATTCATGAGAGACAAAAACAAAATCTAACGCCAAGTATCAGGCAACCGTAAGCAGAAAACTTCGAGGGCATTGAATGGTAAGAGTTAGGCACATCATCTTGAATGGCCATTTCACGGTCTAAATAGAAAATCATAGCAGAAATTCGAGTAAAGTAGAAACAAGGCCACGAAAATAGAACAGAACACTACGAAAACTCAGATTCTGAAGAGAACCCAGTGATTGTTGATTGTTTCTTTGGCTAAACAGCGTTAAGGTGGAGAAAATCTTCCCCAAAACCACAGCACCATTCCCTCGATTTTCCTAGCAACCAAACTGGAAGAAGCAAGGGGCTGTTTGGTTGGTGCATCAATTCATGCACGAAAACCAAAGCTGAAAAAAGAAATCAACACGTCGCTTACCAGATGATCGATTTGCAGAGCACAGTCATCGAGAGAGGCTCACGGACGAAGTTGCAGCCTAGGTTGGGCTCATTCTGAACCCCCGAATTAGGGTCATTCTTAGGTGAATCCATAGCCGACTCCTCTTTTTTAAAAAAAAAAAAGAAAAAAATCAATATATGCTCCTAAATTAAGCTCCCTCTTAATTAAATTAAGCTCGAAGGAGATTTAATAGTATCAATTAAACTCTTATTTAGTTGCAAATGCCAAAATATTGCATGTTAAATTTTTTAAAATAAATGATTTAAACTGACTTATTTATAAAAAATGTAGAGTAGTGAGGCCCTCTTCCTTATGGGATTATGTCCCAACAATAATTGAATTATTGTACTTAATATAAACCATTTTTTATTTTGTTGTAATTGGCACCATTACTATATATAATTATAAATTAATTATTAGTTTAGAGATTTAATTAATATAACTTTTTAAAAGGTATATAATTAATTAAAATTTAAAAATAAATATATTAAGCGGTAAAACTCTTAAATTTATTATATTTTTGCTAATTTTATATTAAAACCCTTTAGATAAGGATAAATAAATAGCTAGCATGGTATTGAAAATAACTATTTTCAATTTAATTGAAACTTCATTAATAGCATATTTCGAGGGTAAAACCTACTTTTCATTTTAGTCCCTCGTATAATTTCATTTTAGTTCTACCATTTATTCTTTTTAGTCTATTACTATGTTACGAACAACAAAACATCAACAATAATATAGTATTGACTATATTGTATATAGGATATGTTCATGATTTTCGTCTTAATTAGCTAATGTGGGCCTTTGGTCACACGAACTTCACTGCTGCATGCACTTTCTCTTACTATATGACTAAAGCTAATAAAACTAAGGAGAAACGAGGTGAGAAAGAGCTAAAAAATAATTGAATATTCCATTTTCTTGGAAAATGGTAGAAATACATCACTTTCAATCCAAATACAATAATTTATATTCACATTAGGGTAATCAACAAAATCTCACACAACCTCTCACTAGAAGTTGAAAGAAACCACCACAACCTAAAAAAAATATATATTTGACAACAATAATGGAATCCATGGGGCAATGTGCAGTGAACTTGACTCTATCCCAACTCTTGTTTCTCTTTGGATTCAAAGGCCATCACAATTTTAACCACAAAGAACCATAGAGTTGGGAAGATTCAGGCTAAAATAATACGAGGATACTGAAATAAGTAACGGAAAAATTGACACAAAAAATATGGGTACCTACAGCCCAATATTTGGGTGTGCCTCCTTCAGGTGCTTTAAGGAATCTGATACCAAGAAACAAATTATTCAGTTGAGCACAGTGCTGGCTGTTGTATATTACAGTCATCAGGCAATTCATCAATATGCCCAATTCTATTTGATTTGCAAGAAAGAGTACCTGCCTCTTGACCTTGTTAGACTCCATAAAAGCTTCTTCAGACATCATTGATCCAGTATCTTTACATCATTCTTTGAAGCTGACCATTCCTTCTCGTCGAAATCTTCTCTGTTGCATGTTACGTATGCGCCATCTTTGACGTTTTTCAATCTCTCAATTAAAGCTTTGTTATCATTTGTCAAAATGGATAGCTGCAGAAGCAACAAGGGCTGGATGAGACTAACTTTCTGGAGTTCTTGTAAATTTACTCATCTATTAGAGTACATATACGGAAAAAAAAAACAGAAGGGTTTTCAAAGAATTTGCTTCCAGAATATACCCAGAAAATTCTAACCAAAACTAAAGTACATTGGCTAATTTAGGAAATGATCGTGAGTTTATAAGCAAGGAATACATCTTCATTGGTATGAAGCTTTTTGGGGAAGCCCAAAGCAAAATTACGAGAGTTTATCTCAAAGTGGACACTATCATATCATTGTGGAGAGTCGTGATTCCTAACACAAGTTTCAATATCATGATAAATTAAAAATTTGGTCCGATTATTTTGAGTTACTGAAATGCATGGTTGTATTAGTTTATCAAAAGAGGCCACTGAAGTAAACGTATTGCAATTGAAAAGTAAGAATATATACACCGGAAATAGGCCAAATAATTAAGTCAAAGTAACAATCAAAAGAGGTTTAAAAATTCAAATAAGAGTTTAGAAGATTAGTTGAAAAATCTATAAAAGACCAATGATTTTGCAAAATAATACCTGACTCTGGATTCGATCCCTTTCAACAGCTAGTTGGAGCACCATGTCCTTGATAAACTTGGTACTCAAGTTAATTTCATTTGCATTCGTAAATTTTTGACTGTTAGCTTGATCCAATGCTTTCTCTAAGAATCCCGCTCGAGCCTTGAGGGAAGTAAGATCTTTATTGAGTTCAAAGTTTGTTTCAGATAAGATAATGCAATTCTCCTCTGCTCTATCGGTCTTACTTTCAGCTTTAGAAACTTTGGATTTAAGATCCTCAATTAGAGTTTCCATGTCCCATATTGCAGAATATAACATGTTTTGTTGCTCCTGACCTGCTTCCAATGATGATTTTGCATGCTGCAATTGAATTTCCAGTTCCCTCAACTGTTTTTCAAGTAAACCAACTTTTTTCTCTTTATTGCTTGCACTATCTTTAAGATAATTCACCTCTTCGGTAAGTTCCAGGTTTGTCTCTTGGATCTGTGTGAGCTTGGCTTCTACACTCTCTGCTCTAGTTTCTGCTATGCAGATGCTTTCTTTTAGTGAATCAACAAGATTTTCCATTTCAAAAAGCTGATCTTGAATCGCCTCATTCGATTCATATGCACTTTTCAGATCAAGCCTAGATTCTCTAAGCTGTTCCTCAAGAGACTTCACTTCTTCCTTCAATTTATCTAGTTCGGCGTTCTTAGCAATTTGTTCGGCCTTCCTTCGCTCAAGCTCCAGTATAGCCACTTCTTTTGCTCTAAGCTGCGCCGTCCAGTCTAGAAACTCTGATTTCATCTCATTTTCACGCTGAAATGAACCATGTAGATTAACCTGCACGAGCTGGAGGCGGCCAACTAATTCCTTTGAAATTCCCATAAGAATCTCGACACTATTATCCGCCTCCAGAAACCTACCCCAAACAACTTCTGCAGCCTCTTCCATTTTCAAAACAACCTGTTTGGTATAGTGTAGCTTCAATCTGAGCTCCTCTTCTCGTTGCTTTGATTCTGACAACCTCTTCTCCAGATCTAGCTCCCTCGCAAGTGATTTTTCTAACATCCTTAAAATATGTCTTTGTTGGTCAGTCATTGTGTTTGATTTCCCATTTAAGTTCAGAACTTGATCATTTTGTGACGACGACATCACGGGATCCTCCAATCTCCCTGTCACAAAGGCAGAGTAATTAGAATTACAAAATTGTTACTTCTTCATCATCTAAGATCATTAGTGACTGAAGAAAATAAACCACGAACAATTTCCACTGCTTAAAACAATTCTCTGCAATTTGGTTGACTGCATCTTCACTTCTAAAATCTGCTGTAGAGATTGATTGAGCGATTTTTCAGAATCATGCAATTTCTCTTCTACCAAATAGAAAACTTCATTTGATTGTCTGCAAGAAGATATCATTCCACGGACATCAACTATTTCTGCTTTGAGTGTGTCCATAACACTGTCCAGCTCTCTTACCTCAGAGTCCAGAAAGGCAGACAAAAAATCAAATGCCAACACCTTCCGAAACGAATCATCTGAGATATAATCATTCTCCAAATCCATTGCTTCTAAATCATTCTCCTGAGCCAGTAGGCACATAAAAAGTACATGAAGATTCATCGATTTCTTGGACAAATAGGCCAAGTCCAATTCTAGTTCGGTCAAAGTTTTCAAAATATTCTCCAGTTCTTGCATTTCAAGTCTTCCAGATTCTTGATTGCAAGTATTACTATCCATCTTCACAAATGGTACGATAACCATAAGCTTCATACTCCTAGTAGGCCATTTTAAGACATCTAGTTCCAGAAACGATTCCAAAACACGAAAGTCATCCCATGGCAAGCAAGACTTAACCTAATTGAAAGACCTAATCTCATTCAAGCAACTAAAACATCATGCATAGAGAACAAAAACCAGCAGATACGAAATTACAACCAAATCGATCCAGAAACCATAATTTTCGGGAGAAAAAGCAGCTTTACCTGGAAGAAAAAACCGGACGCGTCGTCTTCTGAGTCCGTAAAACAAGAGAACGAAGACTTAGACCTTATCCAACACCAAACCGAGTTCCATTTCAGCCGTCAGAATCAAACATTGGCGAGTCAAACTCGCTAACATAAGCTGCGAGAGTACAACATGAGCATTGAGGCAGGCGTAAAGGAAGCGAGGACAGATCAGTAGTTGATGTTGGGTTTGAGGGCCATATCTGCCGCATGTTAGCTTGGATTTACGGTGGAGAAGCGAATGATTGAGAGGCATAAAGATGAACACGTGAAGCCCAAGCCAAAGGCTGGGCTACCTTTTTTGTGGCGTCTGTGAAAATACAAATGGCGGTTTACAAGGACGAATATCGGGCAGGTGAAACTCTGACCTGTCAGTTAACTATATAAAGATAATTTTTAACTCTACCTCAAAAATATCACTAAATTTTCAAAAATCTAAAAAAATAAAATACATATATATATATATATATATATATATAATGGTCACTGTCCTACATTTTTTTACTTTTTACAGTGCATGGTCGTGATCTTGACACGCTCACGGAATTAAGCCCTATATATATTTTTCGCCCCGGCTTTGTAGCTTAGTCAAACCTTGGTCAAGGTTTGTCTTCGTCAATCGAACATCGCTTGTGTGAAATTCAAACTTGTTCAACCACACACGCCGCCTGCGCGTGCATGTTCAATCATATGCAACACATCTGACTTGCCTCTGCACTAAGCCAAGTTATTTGGTTCGACCTTGACTCTACTTGGGCCAAGGTCTCTCAGTACAACGTCGCATCTCATCTTGTTACCTTAATCCCCATCGACAAGGCTCATTCTCGATGGTATGAACGAGGAGTTATATTTCAAGAACTTCACAAATATATTTTAAAATTTAAAATAAATAAATAAATAAATATATATATATATATATATATATTTATGAACT